CATCCATCCATCCATCCATCCATCCATCCATCCATCCATCCATCCATTATCTTTTACCCACTTCTTCCATTTCGGGTCACGGGGATCGCTGGTGCCCATGTCCAGCAATCACTGTGTGAGGGGCGGGGTACACCCTGGACAGGTCACAAGTCCATCACAGGGCCACATAGAGACAAATGAGACAAAAAATCATCCATCCATCCATCCATTTTCTTTACCCGCGTATTCCATTTTGGGTCACGGGGGTCGCCGGTGCCCATGTCCAGCTATCACTGTGCGAGGGGCAGGGTACACCCTGGACGGGTCGCAAGTCCATCACAGGGCCACATAGAGACAAACGAGACAAACAAACATTCACTCTCTCACTCACACCCAGGGACAATTTAGAGTTACCAATCAGCCTAACATGCATGTTTTTGGTCTGTGGGAGGAAACCGGAGTACCCGGAGAAAATCCACGCTTGCACAGAGAGAACATGCAAACTCCACCCAGAAGAGCCCCCAGACCAGGATTTGAACCGGGGTCCTGCTCGCTGAGAGGCAGTAGCACTACCAGTTGGGCCACCATACTGCTTATACAGTATATATATATATATATATATATATATATATATTTATATATATATATATATATATATATATATATATATGCGTGTGTGTGTGTGGGTGGGTGTGTGTATTTATTTATTTATTTATTTATATAGATAGATGGATAGATGGATGGACAGACGGACAGATGGACAGACGGACGGACGGACGGATAGACGACAGACAGACAGACATATAGATAGATAGATAGATAGACAGACAGACAGACAGACAGACAGACAGACAGACAGAGACAGACAGACAGACAGACAGACAGACAGACAGATAGATACTGTAGATAGATAGATAGATAGATAGATATAGATAGATAGATGCACATTTACACACACACACACACACCCCAAACACCGTACACATGTTTTTCTTCACATGCTCACACATACAAACACTGACTTCCCCACAAGAGAAAACCATGATGTCATCCTTTTTGTCTCCTCTGTATTACAGTACTCGCTTCTTTTATTTTGAAGGGCAACCAATTTACGCCATCTAGAGGCAAATTTTAACAGTTGCAGCAGCAGGTAAATGCTTCAAAACACATAAAGCATGTATAGTTGAAAAGGATTATGACATCATCTTATTGCATGAGACTGCATATTATTCACATGAACAGCCAATGACACCTTCTAAAATACCATAAATGGTAAACGAACTGTACTTATATAGCACCTTTCTATCTTATCAAGATATTTAAAGCAATTTACACTACAATCTGTGCTCTCATTTACCCATTCACACAGCACTCTACTAGATCTATACAAAGACTAATCAGTGCTTTATCATGTTCATACACCGATGGAACACACATCGGAGGCAATGAGGGGTTCAGTGTCTTGACCATGGACATTTTAGCATGTGACTGCTGGTGGAATCAAACCCACAACTCTCTGCTCTAACCACTCAGCCACAGCTGCCCAACATAACACAAGGCTGAAGCTGTATATATATACTGTATATATATATATATATATACACTGAAAAGCTTGTTAGTTTACATATACATTAATCAAACAAGATGTGTCTGGTTTAAAAGTGAGCTGCTTATAAAAGTTAAATTCTCACCTTTTTAACAGTTTGTAAAAATAAAATAAAACATAAGTGAAACGTAAAATCTCCAACTTGTAGCTCGTTTTTTTTAATATATATATTTTTTTTTTGATTGTTTTGTGCACAAGCATTGCATAAACTTTTTTAGGAACACACTTCTCTGCTGTTTTTTCACCCCCACCTCTTTGGTGACGTTGTCTTGGATCAGGCTGTAAAGGGGCACGACCCGGCTGACTTCAAGCAGGACAGGGATGGGGGAGGATGGCTCTCCACTCCGGTTGCTACCACTGCGGCCTCTCCCCGCCCCTCCACCCAATGGGGTCTGGTGATGGCACAGGTGGCAGCCAGAAGGACAGCTGCCATTCTCCTCGCAGCGGATCTCCACACCATTCACTATGTCATCCACTAACAGCTGGCTTTTCTGCAGAGCCAACAAGTAGCTGATGAAGGGAACTGACTTGAGCTCTCGCCGCCCTCCACCACCAACCCCCTGTTCAGTTGCTTCTGGAAGGTAAAGCAGAAAAAAAAAGGAGGGAGTAGATGGGAGAGCAACAACAACAAAAAGAAGACAAACATATTTTAAGCCATTTTGGTTTATTTTAAAACCAATCCCTTTTTAAAATGATTTAGTTTTGCTTGGGTTTAAGACACTATATTCACATATGAAACTTCACCATTTTTCCAGATGTATTGTGGATTTTATTTAATTTTCTACAATATTTAATTGATTTTTGAGCTATGACTATACACCGTTTTTTGGCTTAGTGTCATCGTCTTTGTCACATTTGTCTTTTGATGGCATCTGCTTTTGTGTAACTGTTAAATTGCTTTTGTTTCACATTTTGCATCCTTTTTTTTTTATACCGCCATCCTTTGCTTTACTTTCAGCTCCCTCTCCACACCTGGTTCCAGTTTGTCTATTACTTCACATACTTTGTTACAGTTGTTATTCTTGCCCAGTATAAACACATTCTGGTGTCTTTGTTTCCTACGAGATCCTTACTATTGTTTCCCCTTGTACAGTTCATCACCATGTCAAATTTGGTTTCGGTTTTATTCAGCACTGTACCCTTGCTTCTGAATTCCTGCCTTGGAGCGTCTTTAGTTAGTTTTATTTAAATAAAAGTTTATTTGATACCTCACCTTCCTGGCTCCCGACTGTCAGCCTGAATTTGGGTCTTTTTCCTCACCACCCTTTGAGAAAAGGATCTAGCCAGCACAAAGCCAGCAGATTTATTAGCTCCCGAGAAGTTTATGGAGGTACATGTGGCAGTAAAGACTTTCAATAATACCGTTTGGCTGTACCCTCTGGAGTCAGGAAAATTTGTGAGCTGATGAAGACTTAAATACAACATTTGTTGGAAATGATTACTGACTCACTTGGGATAGTGGGAGCTGGCTGAGATGGAGCAAAACTATGATCAAATTTGAGAAGTTACTCACTAATATTCAACTCTTTCATCCTTCCTGGTCTTTGCTAACTCGTAGCTTTCTGGTGTACCAAATAGAGACTCCAAGTGAAGGGAGTTTTCACGTGAGTGTCTGCGCCACAGCTACAGACAGACGGAGAACCTGCCAAGGCCTCAATCAACACTAGAGCTCAGGTCTGAGCCAGGTCTATGCTTTAACTAGAACCAGTTCCACCAAGAGTGGAGCACAGCAAGTTACATGTTAATGAGTCAGAGTAAATTGGAATGGGAGGTTGAGGTGAATTGGGGTGACATTCTGTACTGGAATGTTGTGGTTCAGAACAAAATGAGCCACAACTGCAGATTTACCAGTCAATGCATGTGCCAATCTTTATCTGTGACTGGAAAACAAACAAACAAACAAACAAAATAAGAGAAATTTGACTATTTGGTGAGGGCTTGTATTGAAGTTATTGCTCCTTTGCAGTTAAAATCTAAAATGAATACTGGTATCTAGAAAATATAATTTTGCCTGAACAGTTTGCCCTCTTTAAACTGAAACAGTTTCAGTTCAGGTGATTGAAAAACCTGTAACGGATGCATTTTCAATGTTTTAAGAGATGTACTTTTAGGTATATTTATATTTATTTATTATATTTATAGCTGGTGAGACCAGCTATGTTGTCTGGTCTGGAGACAGTGGCATGGACAAAAAGACAGGAGACAGAACTGGAAGTGGCAGAAATGAAGATGTTGAGGTTGAGGTTGCTATTTTATTATTATTTTGAGCACGGACGCACTTAGTAGAAACTACAAAGTAGTTCCACTAAACTAGGGGTCTGGGTCCATGAAGCTTTGATCTAAACATACATAAAATTGAATAAAATTTAGACTCGATCACAATCAAGATGAGTAGTATTAGTAGTTTCCCTGTCCGATTGTATTCAAATACAGTTTATGTGATGGAATGATACCAATAAGGAAAACATTTTTTAATTTTGCTGTATGTTCGTCATCTTGATGGCTGTTTCATAAATCTAACTTCTAGCAAAATAGTGTGGTCTTTCTTCAAAGTCTGATAGAAAATTAGACACTTTTAACATATCTGGAATAAGTTAGAGGGGAATAAACAAGATTTGCACACATATCACAAACCGCTATACATCAAGTTCATGAAATAAGGTGTTTGTCACACGACAAATCACTAGAATAACAAATACATACCATAAATAATGGCTTGCTTTGAATAATGAAAAAAAAAAAAAACTTAATAGAAGTTTAAGTAAACAATGGCATCTGCCTTTCTTAAAGGAAATCATTTAATTCTAATAAATTAAATATCCAACAATCTGACCTTATTATCATATACAGTAATACTTTTAATCTCTAATACTATCTTGTGTTTTAATATTTCAAAGTAAGATACTTGTTTATACATAAATGACTCATTGTAGCTTTACTGTGTGATTTGTATTTCAAGATTCAAGAATGTTTTGCATCTGAACAACTTTAATTTAATAAGAGAACGGGCAGAGCTGGATCTTTTGATTGTAAAGGTTCTACACTAGACTGTTGTGTGGATAGAAAGATTAAATCTTTTTGTTTTCAAAAGATAAATGATCCTTTTACATGTTCCTGGTACGGTGGCCCTAAGGTATAAATGAAAACTTTATTATTTCTAAAGTGCTGCTGCATAAACACACTTTAGAAGACCTATACTGACATCTAGTGGTCTTTCTCTGTAATTACCGGCTGTGTTGATAAATATTTCCCCACTATAAGGAATTCATCTTTTAAACATAGTGTGTGCCACTTTAGTAGTGAATCATTTTCTAAGCTAAAATTTGGTAAACTAGTTAAGTTAAAGTAATCAGTCTTTTCTGCAGCTAATGCTGTAAATATTATTTTTCTAATCTATTTGTCCTTGGTGTTGAAGACATTTAGACATCAGTCATATCCTTCTTATGAAGTTGAATAAATTGTATACGATCCTACCAAAGGGCAAATTCAAAGCAAACATCTGTGTTGCTGAACTTTTTGGAACACAGTGAATTCTTTATTTACAGTATTGGATGGGAAATAAATTAAAAAGTGCCAAATGTAAAGATATTGGTCCTAAAAGCCTCTCTAAAATGTGTAGAACTAGAAGTGGATTTAAATGTTATGTAAATTTTAAGATAAACTTACAAGACATTCAAAGATAAAAAAGCCACATTAAATATTTATTTGTATTACACATGATTAATACCCTAACCAGACACATAAAGGCATCATTTTAAATCCCACAATAAAATATAGTAGGTTAAATAAGAACAACTGATCATTTAGTGTTTTACACTACAGGATATGCAGAAAAAAAAAGATTAGTAATACAGTGAGTAATAGTTTCTGACAGTTTTCTCAGCTTTTCTACACATGAAATCAAGAAAGACATCATGCAGATAGGATATTAATGCATCTCCCTCATTGATAAAATGAAGAAAAAAAAAACATTTTCTTTGGATTCCCATTATTGCATACATAGAATGTAATGTGGAAACGTGTGTTTTACTTACCCAATCACTGAAACAACTGATGTAAAAGTCAAAATTCTGGTATGTAAAAATAAGTAAGGATTAAGACAGAATAAGTTAAACTGGAGCATAAATATTAGACTGGGTTATATTTATACTGCAATTAGCAGATAACCATTAAACATGTATACAAGACTGTAAACATCTCGAAAGAAACTACTAATGCATGACTTATTTGAAAACGATTGTTCTGAATACTTGTTTACTAATTAAGTAGTAAAAAATAATAACCTACCAGATAATGTACAATAGGTGGCGGTAATTAAACTTTTGGCGAGTTATCCAACACTAATTATAGCCACCGAAGAAGAACGCTACGTAACATTACGTCTGTACGTAAACTCGCTGCTCTGCGTAGGAAATCATAAACACTGCAGTTATCATCAGTAGCTGTAGCTGCAAGACACTGTATTCTCGTCCAGCAAATACAGTAGGAAAGGTAAGATTAAAGAGCAGAAATACAAACAGAACAACATTATTACGTTGTTTGCGGAAGGTGTATTTCACGGCCTTCCTCTTTCGCACTATCGCGTTGCGTTTAGGACACTCGCTGTCTGTTAACAATTGTCACGTGGGGGCCTTTATTTATTAGTCCTTTAGAAATCAGGACGGCAGTGTCAGCCAGTTCTAGCATGGTGGTTACGTTATTCTAAATAATGCTTGCTTGCATGACATTGTGTGCCTGTTAGCTCACTTAGCTTGGTAGCATTCATCTGCTCGTCTGCTTCATTGCAGACCTACCAGCATGTATCATTTTCTGTTTTCATGTTTTTGCACCATTCTTTGCTTTGACATTCATCAACAGCACTAAACTGTAAATATAAATCTGTTAACATTGTAGCTGTGGTACACTTTTAAAGGTAGCTTTCTTTAATTATGTTCAATAAGGTATTTTTATTTGTAGCTATATGTGACATTTTAATGCAAAACTGGAGACATTTAACCCTTTGTGTTTTTTTATGATTCATCATAAAATAGGCAGCTACTTCTATTCATTATTAAAGGGTTTGTGACATAATTTTGTTGAATAATAAAAAAATAAAACATTATAAACTTGCTTTAAAAAAATGTCAGCAGTGAGGAAATCACTTTGCATAATATGTTTAAATAAACCAGAAATATTTTATGATTTATTGTATTCCAATATTTCAAATACATATCAATAATGTTTAAACAGCTTTATTAATGTGCATTTTAAATGAAGGACCCATCAAAGTAATCTTTCTGAATTTCAATTTAGTCATTGCAAACCAAACATGAAGCAAATTATTCTTACGTTCTTGTTTGTATTTTGTAGTTATGACATATTTTACACGCAATAATTTGTTACAGAATAGTCACAGGAAAAATGTTTTTTTTTTCTCCACCTAAATAATATGTTTTTTTTTTTCTTCTCCCATTTAAGGACCAGGCCAGGATGGCTGCATCGTGTTCCCCAATGGACCCAGATCTAATGAGGGAGGTTCTTGAATGCCCCATCTGTTTGGAAACCTACAATTATGAACAACTGAGACCCAAACTCTTGCAGTGTGGCCACACGGTGTGTCGGCTATGTCTAGAAAAACTGCTGGCTAATACCATCAATGGTGTCCGCTGCCCCTTCTGCAGCAAGGTCTCTCGAATGAGCAGCATCTCCCAGCTGGCAGATAATCTTACTGTGCTCAAGATTATAGATTGCACTTTGTCCTGCAGTGCTGCTGCCGCTGCACTAATGTGCAAGTCCTGCTGCAGCCGCCTACCAAGACAATACTGTCACGATTGCTCCACAGTTCTCTGTGAAGTCTGTAAAGGGGAGGGCCATCTGCACCAAGGCCATTTAGTTCAGTCGATTAAGGTGGCTGCTGAGCAGCGGCGCAAAGAACTGGGTGGTAAACTGGCGACGCTCCGTGATGTCATGAGAGAAATTCAGAAGAAAAAGACAGCAATCGAAAACGTTTCTAAGTCCTTGAGACAAAAATATCGAGCAGTTCAGCAGGAGTACACCACAGCTGAGCTTCAACTTCAAGAGGAGCTTAGCAGATCTAGAAAGATATTTGCAGCCGCCTTGGGAGAAGTGGAAAAACTCAATGCGCAGGTCCTAGAGGAGCAGACATACCTTCTTAATCTTGCAGAGGTAAAAGTGGTGTCACGCTGTGAATACCTGACTGTGCAAGTAAGGCAAAGTGATATTGTCTTGCTAAAAGACGATGGTGCAGGAAGTGATGATGAAGAGCTGGATTTGAGGAGCAGTTTGTCCTCCCAGTTTCAGCTGCAGGAGCCAGCGCTGGTCAGAATGGAGCACTCTGAACCTTTAGACGTTGGTCATTTGACAACGAACACTTACACTGTTAATACAGATGATGATGATGAGGGGGGGTTAGAGAATGCATTTAAGGGTGATTTAGAGGATGTAGCTGGTCCTGTAGGTGCTACAGGAGGTGCAGTAAGAGTTTCAGAGGATCTTTACAGAGATATTGACATGGTTTCAGCAGCAGACAGTGCTGTTTGTGGGTCACCAGGCAGCTTTAAATCAAAGTCAATGGATGCAGGAGGGGGGTCAACTGCTGGGGCAAGGTCAGGGCCACCTGTCTGCCAATTCATAAAGAAGATGGGCTGTAAGGGCGCTCTAGCTGGAATGTTTAATTTACCAGTCAGCATCTGTGTAACACCTCAAGGTGAGATACTGGTAGCCGATCGTGGAAACTGCCGCGTCCAGATATTCAACCATAAAGGTCTCCCACGTGAAATCCGACGCAATGCCAGCATTGACAACTTTGTCCTTAGCTTTTTTGGGGCTGACTTACCTAATCTAATCCCCTTATCAATCGCTGTGACTCCGCAAGGCCTGATTGGTGTGACTGACAACTATGATAACTCAGTTAAAGTATACACGTTGGATGGACACTATGTAGCTTGCCACAAAAATAAGCTGATTAAACCCTGGGGAATTGCAGCCATGCCATCAGGCCAGTTTGTGGTGTCAGATGTGGAAGGGGGCAAGCTGTGGTGTCTTGCAGTGGATCGCAATGTAGGCGTTGTCAGCTACAGACGACTGTGCTCGGCCGTCCGACCAAAATTCGTTACATGCGATGCAGCAGGAACAGTGTATTTCACTCAGGGCCTGGCCCTGAACTTTGAAAAACAACAGAACGAGCCCCACCTGGAGGGCGGCTTCTCCATCGGTTCAGTGGGCACCGACGGCCAGCTTGGTAAACAGCTCAGCCATTTTTTCTCAGAGACGGAGGACTTCCGCTGCATCACTGGCATGTGTGTAGATGCTGACGGGGACCTGCTGGTTACAGACAGTGGCAGGAAAGAAATCCTCCGGTTTCCCAAAGAAGGCGGGTTTAATATTTTAATCCAAGAAGGGCTAACCTGTCCTGTAGGAGTGGCCACCACTCAGAAAGGACAGTTGCTGGTGCTTGATTGTTGGGACCACTGTGTCAAAGTCTACACATACGTTCATAAGCGGCATTCTTCCACGTCCTAGAACGACTGTCCCTTCTTGTGTCCCATGAACTTTAGAAGTTTAGTAGGTGCGTTTACACCGGTTTGTTTTGACCAAGGAAGACCCAAACTCTTGTCCCTTTTAGAATAGCTGCATCAGATGACTCTCACCCTGGTTTTTATTGGTTTATCGCATTTATAAAATCCTGTTCATGAGCAAACTTCCCCTTTAGGCCAAGTAAAAGAAGCCATTAAAGCTATGAAGCACAAAGTGAACATGATATCCATTCTTCTGTTCTCAGCTGCCGTATCCCTCTTTTAGCTTGAGTGTATGATGTGTGACTTAACTTAATTCATCTCTGCTTTGCACCAGACCACATTTGGCAGAGGGTCTGAAAATAAACCTACATTTACGTATGAAGTAAAGCACAGCAAAGCTTTTGCTCCGTGAAGCACTTTATTCTAGACACAACACTGTTTCTGCTGAATGTGGCTGGCAGATTTAACGTTTACTTAATATGTAACTAATGTTAAGAATCTGTTTTTTTTTTTTGATAAATAAAGTTGCATTCAGTAACATTTAAAGAACATTAAATGCAGACTACTGTACTAGCTTAAATGCTAACTGATAACCTGACGTGCTGGGGGATATGGCTGTTTCGTCTGAGGCTTTATATTTTATTCCCCCTTGGATTTTTTTTATTATTTTTTTTATTTTAGATTAGATGCGTTAAGACATTTATGTGGTATTTTCTTTTAATTTGATACCCTTATTATTATGTTTTTTCTGAAAGCATATTGCCACAATGTGGTGATTATTAAAGCAATATTCAGCTTCAGTAACCTCAATATTGACAATGATCTTTAAAACTGTTTTATGGCGTACCATAGTTTCAACCTCGTTTTTTGTTTTTCCACATTAGTTTTCAACGTTTTCATCATTTATTTTTGTACGGTCATAAAGCTTGAAAATAATTTAAGTGGTTAGTCTTTACTTATTTGTTAGGAATAACTATATCTGCTATGAACAAGCTTTTGTTTTTAAAGATTTCAGACAAATCTGTTCTGTTTTTTTGGTCATTTTTGTTCAGCTGTATCATAAAATGATCCAAATGTTGGCTCTTTTTGCTATTCCAGAGGAAGAAAACACTAAATGCTCACAGCATGCAGGTCACATTAAGTGCAGCTGGAGCACATACTTGAAAACTGGAGTTAAATTTATGATTTTAATGCCACAAAAATCAGTTCACTGCCTGCTTGGGTGCATCGTGACGTCTCATGCTAAAAACTTTATTGAGATGTGTTTTTTCTTTTCTAGAGACATCTTTAACTTGTTGAACTGACATGTTTTATGTCACAATCTGTGTCCATGACAATAAATTGTAGCTTCCATTCCAGGTTTGTTCAGAGCATATATATATATATATATATATATATATATATATATATATATATATA